ACCGGTCATGTGCTAATAACTGGGACCAGATCAGAATTGCAACCACTTTTCACACCTGTCACATTAATACACACACAGAGAATGGCCTTATTTCTGGCATCCTGTAGCCTGGTAGAGCTGGCACCTCATGTACCAAAGCTGAGTCCTTGCTGCCATGGGTTCAAGTCCAATCTGTGGCCCTTTGCATCATCCCCACTTTGTCTTCCCCCTTTCCTGTCACTCTACAGCTGTCATGTCTAATAGAGACAACCCCCCCCCCAAAAAAAAAAGAATAGCCTTCATCTGTTATTGCAGATGTACATAGGCACTATCATGGAAATGTACACAGACTCACATGCACGTACAGATAGCTTTACAAATACCACAAACTGTACACACACTAGTGCACAGGTACTCATAAGCATCACAATCGCTTCTCACTGGTTCCCATTTGCCCTGTAACCACGAGAAAACAAATATAGGCCTCCTGGATATGTGTGTGTTTGTGTGTGTCTGTGTAGCAACTGGGGCGTGAGAGAGGGCTATCCTTGTGTGTGTGTGTGTGTGTGTGTGTGTGTGTGTGTGCGTATGTCTGTGCCAGACTGTTGTGCGGTCTCGGGTGTAAACGTGCAGTCAGGACTCATTTGGCAGACAAACAGGCCGCAGGGTGGCTGGGGAATCGACGTGTGTTTGTGTGTGTGTGTGTTTGTCTTTGTGTGTGTGTGTGTGTCTGATAGAGCAAAGGGAAGAGAAAAAAGAAAGAGAGTACGAGAGCAAGCAGTAGAGGTTAAGTCTGCATGACTGCACTGCAGCCTCTTTCTGTCAGACCAATGTATGGAACATGCACACAAACATAACTACACACACACACTCTCTCTATTTACCTTCATAGATACAATAGAGTGTCCTAATATGTTGTACATGCACACATACCAAATACAGAATTTAGGTCATTAACTTGACCTTATGCACCCCTTTACTCATCCTAATCATTATGATCACTTTAATTTAGTAAAAACAAAATTAATATCCAACCTTTTCTCCTAAAAGTTAAGTTTATGTAGTAAATGGTGTTGCCCTGATTATTTTCACTGGCAACCAGTCCATCCCATGCTCTCACACACACAGAGCGGTCATTCCTGCCTACATCAGCATTGTATCACAGGAGGAAGAGATAGGATGCAGAGTTCGAGAATGAGATTTGATGGGTGGAAAGAAAGAAAAAGTAAAAAAGGAAGATACAAGAAATAATGTTCAGAAATCAGGGCAAAATTTGTTATCTTGCACAATGTTTATTTCCAAGACATTGTCATGAAGCGCAGGCTATTATCAAGTACTCTTGACTCTATATAGAGAATACACAAAACATTGAAAACAAAGTACAACAGTGACTGTTTTTAAAATTCATTCCCTATATGAACATTTTGCTGCTATGTAGAATGGTTAATTAGTATGTCCTAAAAAAAATGATCTGGCCATCATTACATTGCTTTAAAATGTAATTGCAGGTTCACACAGTCACAGAAGAGAGGAAGTGGCAGACCTTATCTCTTAATGCAACTGTACACAATGGCCATATTTGAATTAAGTTGGAGAGTATTTGGGTTCGATTTCATGTAGACAATAAATAAATAGAAGACAAATGCTTAGAATATACAGAATACCATACTTGGTGCTACCGTAGAGGAAAGGAAAAACCTTTAACTAAAGCCTGCTCAGCCAGCAAAGACACAAGCATGTATCCAGTAAAGGTGGAGACATGGTTCAACTTGCAGATGGTGTTCGATAGCAAATTTCTCTTCTTTAAAGTTTATGTTAATATGTTTAAGCAAAGCTCTGACTTTATTTTTATTGTACATTTATGTACTTTCAGCTCAGCCCACCACAGCAAACAGCACACAGGCTGTACAACACCCGCACACACAAACACACTCATACTCCCACACATAGTATGAGATGCCTTATCAACAATGGGCAGAAAGGAAATGTAATTAGAGCCAAATAAGGAACCTTCTTTTGTCAAGTGAAATCACAGGTATGAAAGAAAGGTCTCCACCCCTCCCACCACCACTACCTGGTCTCCTTCCAACACCTCTCCCCCCTTTTACTTTCTTCTCTCCTCCATCTCACTCTTTCTCGTGCTCTCTCTCTCTCCATCAATACCTCTCTCTCTCCATCATCAGCACTAAATTCCCATTGATGTTTCTTTTCTTCTGCTGTATCGATCGCTTCATGAGAAGGAGGGGAGGAAGGGAGGAAGGGAAGAAGGGAGAGATGGCGTTATCTGTTAATTAATTTGTCCTGAAGCTGGCCGCCTATTAATCAGACAGATAAGAGGCATTGGATGGCTGAACAGCGCAGACAGGCTGGTGGGGAAGGGATAGGAGGGGGTCGGGGAGGCACAAACACACAGAAATACACACAGATAGAGACGCACATGCACAGACTCACAGAAAACATATGTATGGGAATGTAAGCATACACAAAGAATTCAAGCATGCTGGTGAAACAAGCCAGAAAACTCACAATGCAATTATGTATATTATCTTCAAATATACAATATGAGCATACACATATAGTCACAAAATGCTTTCACACACCACACTTACTTACACACACACACACACACACACACCATGTTCTGATAAAAATCATCGATGTACCTCAATAAGAAAAGCTGCACTTTCAGCTCAATAAATTAATCACATGGGTTTTAATTACTGGTGTTTTCCTTTGTGTGTGTTTGTGCGCAGATGTGTGCGTGTTGTGTGTAATTAGGAGGGATATGGTTGTTGATGGGAGGTATGTGCAAACCCTGGTATTTACATACCGCTAGTCATGCAGATGTGTTTTGAATGACGTGTGTGTGTGTGTGTGTGTGTGTGTGTGTGTGTGTGTGTGTGTGTGTGTGTGTGTGTGTGTGTGTGTGTGTGTGTGTGTGTGTGCTCACCCACTTCTTGAGCCATGTGTGCCCCCTCTGGCCTCGGATCAAATTCCACCAGAGGGATGTACGCAAATTGATTGAACCCTCCACACTGCTCCCAATGCCAGAGCGCTGAAAACACACACAGACACACACACACACACACAGACACACACACACACACACACACACACACACACACACAAGTTAAAACACACAACCAGTGACACCATTAAATGATATTAACCCCTCACTCATGTCTCCTTCTTTTCACTTGACCCCGGGGTTTGAACAGATTCAATAAGTGTGTGTGTTAATTTTAGAAATGCCTGTGCTTATTTCCCCTGCCCATGATGAGTGGTGAAGTCCTAAGGACCCCCTAAAGACATCTGAAATGTGTGTGTACATGTGGGGTGTGCATGTGTGTGTGGGTGCATGAAGACCCCCTTAAGAAATTCACCTCTAATCCCTTTTGATGATTTCATTAAGTAGAAGAAGACACTGCCAGTTGGCAACGATACTACTCCCTTCACTGTGCTGTGTGTGTGTGTGTGTGTGTGTGTATCAATCATACACATTTGGATTCATTCCAGTGTGTTCCTATGCATTTATGTCTATGCATATGTGATACTGTGTGTGTGTGTGTGTGTGTGTGTGTGTGTGTGTGTGTGTGTGTGTGTGTGTACAGCAGTGCATATGTGATACAGTATATGTGTGTGTGTTTGTGTGTGCGTGTTGGAGATGTTCACAGTTGTAGATAGAATGAATTAGAGCACATTACAAACAACAATAGCCTGCAACCTGGACATAATGAGACGCCTGCCATTACCCATCAACACACTGTGAGATAAGAGCCCCCAAACACACAGGCATACGCACACATACACCCACACCCACACACACACACACGCTCACCCTGTCACACACCCACCATCTCAAGAGGAGGCACATTGCAGCAGATGTTGCTGAAGAAATATCTTCCTTCTCATCTGCCTGCTTCTCCTGGCAGGATGCTCCTCTCAAACACACACACAAACACACTCACTGCAGGGTTGTAGTGAGGTCTGACAGGTGTGCTCACATGGGCCACTTTCTTTGCCTTGCCTATGAAGGTTTGCACACACTCGCAAAAACACACACATAGGCAGACAGGCAGGTGTGAATGGACAGGTGTGTGAGGAGAGGACAGCTGTGAGGAAAGGTGTGAGTGGGCAGGTGTTCCATTAAAGAGATAGACAGACAGAAAGGGAAAGGCCGAGAGGGAGAGACAACAAGCAAGAGTCTGCACTTAAATAAGAGGAAGAAGCGAAAATGCTACAAACAAAATGACAGTAGAAAAAACACGCACATTCAGACCAAAACAGATCAAATAATTAAAAGGCACTGAAACTGTGAAACAGAGAGAGACCCAAACATACAGGACACGCAGACCGAGATGTATCAAGATGGATTGGAAAAAGATGGTCAGTCGTAGACAGACACTGACAGATAAAAAGGAATGGATTGAGATTGGAGAGACAGACAGATATAGATGTAGGCAAATAGAAAGACATGGATTGACACCGGAGAAAGCAGGAGTTTTGAGGCCATAGCGGCAATTAGTGTGTGTGTGTGTGTGTGTGTGTGTGTGTGTGTGTGTGTGTGCGCTCGAGCGGTGCAGCAGCGATGGCCAGCATTGATCCATGGAGGTTGTGTCAGGGGGAGATAAGGCCTGCCTTTCCCCAGAGAACAGCCCTGGGCAAAAGGGAGAGAGGAAGAGAAGGAGGAAGAAGAGGAGGAAGACTCTGGTCAGCTGGATGGATGGAGGGTGGGCAGGGAGAAGAACTGATCTTGACCGTCTCACTAGCTTCAAAACAAGCTCTACTCTGTCTTTTTCATTCCCGTTGTTCCTATAGTTTTACTTTTAAATGGCAAATAATTTACAATAAAAACACATTACACAACCAGCTTGTATATTCCTGTTTTTTCCACATGCAGATTATTATATTACATTTCCAGTACAACAGTAAAAAAAAAACTCTTGCTAACTGGTTCGGGGTAAAAAATTTTAAATTAACAATCCTCTCTTGCTTTTCTTCTCTGTATCAATCTTCCCCAGGTTTCTCTACGCTGTCTTTGGCAGACCAGATGAGTCTACTGCAGAGTGCGTGGATGGAGATCTTGATCCTACGCGTTGTGTATCGCTCACTGTCCTTTGAAGACAAGGTTAGCATTTTTAGCTTTAAGCTTGTCTCTTGGCACTCATGACATATACAATATAGATACACATGTTTATTTGCAACCTCTCTGTGTCTCTCTTTAGTTGGTGTATGCTGAGGACTACATCATGGACGAGGACCAGTCGAAGTTAGCTGGGCTTCTGGACCTGAACAATGCCATCCTTCAGCTGGTCAAGAAATACAAGACTATGAAGCTAGAGAAGGAGGAATTTGTCACTCTCAAGGCCATTGCTTTGGCTAACTCAGGTTCGAAATTCTTCATTCTCAGCTGATGTTTTTGTCTCTGTGAGTCTGTTTGTGAGCACACGACTAGTGGAGAAAGAGTTAATCCTAGGAATCTCCTGTCCCATGGGACTCATTTAAACTGAACCATCAAAGGACTAATTTCAATACTCCACATCCAAACACACACACACAACCGCGACAGCATACTTTCACACGCTGAGACAGTTTTTGCTGTTGTCAAACCTCCCACTTTCACTGTTAAAGCCACACACAGTTGTTGCATCAAACTCTTAATAGTCACACATACCTATAGTTATTTTACGCATGCATACACACACAAAGGCACCGTACAAACACCCCCACACACACATCTTCAACCTGAAGCCCACCTCCCACCCCCAAACAAAGTGGCGATCCCTTTTACAATTAGCATAGTCGTCTCTTCAGATGCCTGTTAAATAAGGTGAAATCATTAGAACCCAAAGTCTGTCGATAAAGCCCCTTCTCTGATGTGTCCAGCTGCATCGACAGCTGACTGACACACACACGCACACACACACACTCTCTTTCAGACACACATGCGCGCGCCTTCTTCCTCCCCTGACCCGTCTTTTGAACTTTGTCTTGGAAGCTGGCCAGCTCTTCAGTACTCTTTAATTACAAGGGGGGAGCTGTCAATACAATGTGTTTAAATGGGAGAGCTTTGAATAGGGAGGGAGGGGCCTTTTGTTCTTATTCTTCCACCATCAACACACATGCACATACAACACATTCATACACACAAATACACTCACACTCTTTTTCTCAAGTATGTTAACTTCATCTCTCTGACACATTATGTAAACACACACTTAGACATGTAAGATTAGTGTGTACTTAAATATGAGCCACTGACCTACAGTGGCTACATAGTGTCATGCACATGCATGCAGAAAATATTGACATGTTGTTTTCCTGTGGGCTATGTGTGACAATCAATCTCTTGGCTCTTGCTATTGCATGTGTGTGTCTGTGTGGATGCATGCGTGTCTGTTGGTTCATAAATGTTGCTGACTGAAAGAAAAGAAAGCTGGCTATTTCTGCTATTATGATGAATTATTGTGTTATATAGTCCTTGTTGCCTTCAAGATTTCCATTTGCCTGGATGAGTTGACAGGCCTGGGAAGAGAGAAAGAGTGGTTTAAACATTGCTGCATCAGATTTCAAAAGCATAAATGAAATTCTCAGAGTCACAAGCAAACTGAGGTAATGTAGACAGATATATTAGGTACATATTATGTGTTGCTAATTGGTTATTTTCTTGATATATTAGTTCATCTGTTGGCCCATAAAATGTCACAAAGTACTGGAAAAAAAACAATATTTATACTAGAATATTTGATTTGATTCTTCTGTTGAAAACTGCATGTTGCGGACTCTTTCTGAAGTTGAAATCTCTTTGCCAGTTTGGCTCAGTTTTGAGCCACTGGTTGGCTCAACCAGAGACTAATTATTCATCAAAAGCTTACCTCACTGTTGAGAAAACTCACATTTGTCATTCTTTTAACTGACTGAAATCGAAACAGCTGACACCTAAATAAGAACTTTGAAAATTTGCATGCTCTCTAACTGCTCTTCAAGACAACAGAATGCTAGCATTAGCATTTTGAAGGGCACTGACACTAATTAATTCACAGGATGCTAATCGTCTGCATTAATGAAGCCAAGCCTTAAGAAATGTTAGCAAACGTGCCCCACATGTAAAGACAGCTAAACTAGCCATGGGAAACAAGAGGCACGTGTCTGTGTGTGTGTCTGTGCGTGCACAAGTGTGTCTGTGTGTGCATGTGTGCATTGTGAGTACCATGTTAACTTGTGTTTTAACAGCCTTTTGTGCTCGTGCTCATTAACGTCTGCTGTTTTACTTGAGAGTGTACTGCGGGTCACAGCACATGCAGCGGCCATGTCTACCAGCTAAAATACTAAAAGCACAATATTAATCAAAAACAATGTGAAAGTCATTAAACTTCATTCTAACTTGTGGTCATTATCGGCTGTACTTATGTACTACCACTTATTAGAAAACCAAGAATAAAGAGGAAAAGGGGATTGCATTGTAATGCTGATTCATTTGTAGATATAGCATGTGTTTATTATGTGTTTGTCGCTCTGTCACATCTATTGTACTAAGCATGCTGTATGCTGTGGGAGCAAAATATTTGGCCCGAAAATGTTGAAATTTAAAATAATAAAAGTAGAAGTGAGTAATACTGACAAAATAGAGATCTGCAAAACAGAAGTTTATATGCTATGTAGATTATATTTTATGTTGTTTCTGTATAGTAAAAATGTTAATAATAATCCAACTCATAAACTTTAGTTGGACCACCTACTCTCAGTTAAAATGGGAAAAAGTAGAAAATCTGAGAACAGATAGAAGCTGAGTTTTCTATCGATCTGTATAGAATCCAGCCCACTGACTGATCTGGTCCTGCATACTGATACATGCATTACACTCTATAGATCCAACGCTGTGTATTTGATTGTGTTTGTGCACGTATAAGTGTGCACACCTATGTCTGTGTGGCTCTGTTCACACATTTTGTGTTGAATTTCATTTTGTCTGCGTGGTATAATTTTTATGTTTCATTTACCATGTTTGTGTAAGTTCATACTTTCTTTGCCACGGTTTGTTCGTGTATACATGTGCTTGTATTCAACTTCTGTGCATGTGGATGGTGTGAGCATGTGTTTAAAATGTTTTAATTACACACACATGCATAAACATTGACACTTTACCAAAGAAAGCTCCAAAATTTTCAATTGCTCACAAATTTGTACCACTTAACATTTACACCTCTGTTGTTTGACAAGTTGCTATCAAATACACCCCAGAAGATATAGTGATGGATATTAAAATGTGAAGTGGCTTGGTGATAAAACGCCATAACAACACTGATTTATTACCTTCTCACAGACGCACATACAGTTCATATAGAGTTTATATAGAGTGAATACATTAGACTGTCATTCTGTGTGCGCGCATGTGTGTCTATACATGAAATACCTGTCTAATGTGTATACATGCACTCATAGGTCTCATCTAGTTTGTGTGTGTGAGTGTGTGTGTTGGGGTGTGGTTGACTATCAATAGTTGCCTTGTGATTATTATTTAACATGCATGTAGTCATTGATCGTACACATTGATCGGAGGTTCGGAGCTAAAGGCCAGCTCACATTAAGACTTTGCCTCCCTAAGGGGCAATATGGAGCATTATCATTGAGGGACATTCTCAGCCTTTACTGCCACATATGCTGAAACACACCTTACATGCCAGCTCAAAGAGAGATTACAGATATGTGCAGCCAAATACTTATGCAGAGGCACACACACACACACACACACACACACACACACACACACACACACACACACACACTCTCTCTCTCAGGTGTTCCCGCATCTCTCCATCATTCTACAAGTCTATTTCTTTTTTCTCCACCCACTTGTCTCTTTGTCCGGCCATTTATCACACCCACAGATACACACTTTACAGACAGAGGAGGAGGCAGCCCCTGCATTTAAAGCCCCATTCCTGGATTTAGTTTCGGCTAGAAATTGTGTTTCTTCCATGATTATACTTTTAGAAACTTTCTCCTTGGTCTGAAGTAAAAACATATTTTCCACTGCCTTATATTCACATGCAAATGTAGTATAAGTATGTTTCACTTTTTTAATATACTTCAAAATCACATTTCACTACACTGTAAAGAATGTCTAAACTTGCTTCCAGGAGCATCCCTGCATTGAGCCTGTTTGGATTTTGGATTGAATCTTTAGCACCTGTCCCCTTTGCAGCACTGAGCAATAACACTAACACAATAGCAGACAGAGGGGGCAGAGGGACTGACAAAGACACATACTGTTATAAACATTATCTGAGAGAGTTGTGGGAGCTTTCTACACTGCAAAACCTGCTGCCTTTACAGCTGGAAAAGGCAGAACATAGGCATTTCATAGTCAGAGAGTTCACTGAACACGAGGAGACTGATCTCATTTTCAATGCATTGTCCAATTTCATAATCTTCTAATAATATAAATATAAAATAATAAATAAAACCATATCTGCCTATTTTCCTTGTATTGTTATTTTGCATATAATACTTTGCCAAACAGACAACATCACATGGATGTGGAGCATCCTACAAATGCCCGACCAAATATCTTTTTTGTTGGGATTTGAATTTCAGTCATGTATTTTTCTTCCTTCCCTCTGCAGACTCCATGCACATTGAAGATGTGGATGCAGTGCAGAAGCTCCAGGATGTGCTCCACGAGGCCCTGCAGGACTACGAGGCTGCCCAGCACCAGGAGGATCCCCGCCGGGCAGGCAAGCTGCTCATGACCCTCCCCTTGCTCCGCCAGACCTCCACCAAGGCTGTGCAACACTTCTACAGCATCAAGCAGGACGGCAAAGTCCCAATGCACAAACTCTTCCTGGAGCTGCTGGAAGCCAAGGTCTGAGGCCAGGAGGATAGATGGAAGGACAGCTAGACACCAGTCTGAACCACCTGAGCTTCAACTCAAACTCTCACTTTGAATGACCTCTTGCTCTTTTACACGCACACACTCTGACACACACGCACACACACACCGAAATATGTTCCTGAAATATGTCGGCTGACACATCCCCCTATGAATAGACAAGTAACCTAAACCTCTAACCTGAACCCCTAAACCTCCACCGTCTTTAACAAAAGGGTGCTCACTGGACCTTTTGTTTTGGGGAAGATGCTGACAGACTGACATGACCCCCATGCTACCAAGGGAAGATGATATTTCCTTTCAAAACTAATAACAATCACTTACCAGTTACCACGGTGGCTCCGAACATTGAAGATGGCAAAACTCTTATGCATTTAATAACGATCAAAATGTTATTAATGAAAAACGCTTAAATGAGGACACATTTAAAAGAAACTGAAAACTTTTCATTTTAGTCCTGAGAGACTGTAAGACTGCACTCGTGTCTCCTTTTCCCACCCTATTTCCCCCAACAGAGTTTTTTAAGTGTTCAAGAAGAAGAGTGGGGAGAAAAAAAGAACACTAATGAAGTATTAACGACGTTTGTTGTCAAATTACATGTACAATGAAATTTGGATGGATGGACAGAAAGACAAGAAGAGGAGATTTGCCCTGCCAAAGAGTGGAGCTCATCCATTCAGAGGATGCCAGCAAACTTTAATGTCATAACCCAAAACTGTTTCTGCTTTGATCTACTAGTGGCTTTCAATGCTGGGCCTCAAGAGTGCTGCTGGTTTCGTGCTCCACCAGTTATTTGAAATGTTACTGGTTATTATGAAAACCAGCAGGGCTCAGAGTTTCAAGGACCAGGATTGGAAGCCACTACTGTAAACACTTTCTGGTTCTCCCTAAATCAGCTCCTGGTTTCCCATGACTCCCTTACTTCAACGACAACTTTACTGTTTGTTGTATTTGTTGAAGACCAGTGACCCTGGCCTCCCAAACCTGTCAGTATTAACATAGTATTAGTGTTTGCACACTTGACATGGCTGAAAATGCTTTCAAATATTCTAACCACTTGAGGTGTGACTGATGCAGTTTAGAAGTAAAAAAATATATATCACTAGCAATTAATGAAATAAGACTTGATCTATACTGTCAAGAATGGATTCCTGCTTGTCCGACTGGTAGATGCTGGCTCAGTCCACATTCACATGTAATGCTGTTTATGTCTGTCAAACACTCTTCTTGTGATTGGACATCTGTTTGAAACATTTTCAGCCACTTAGTGGCCCAGGTTTGCAGCTCTCCACACACAAGTCAATAGAGATTTCAGTCTGTCAATGTGCCATGAAGAATAGTCCAGCCCATGCTCATTACCCAAACTCCAAAAACTGCAAAGTGTCACGTCAGTACTACCCTCCTTGCGCCGTTGCATTCACAACTTCCAGCTCATCTCTCGCGTCAGTACAGAGATATTTATGTGATTCATTCAGGGAGTGATGAAGGAGCTTCAGTCACTTCAGTTCAACGCAATACAAACCAGAAGGAAAGGTGTGCTGACAAAACTGACTGAAGAACAACTATTGTTGCTTTCAAACTCCTTATTTTTTCTTTATTTCTATCTTGAAAATAATCTTAGCGATGATACCAGTATTAGGGTTGTAAATAACTGTCATCCTGTATATGACATATAACACGGCTTTGTTTTTGTTATTAATATTGTCTTCTTAAAACTGAATCAATCAATATGTCTTTCCTTTTTTCTATCAGCTTGACCACTTTCAGCAATTATCATATATATATAAATATAACAAGTAATAATGTATTAACAAATCAGCGTTTATCTTAGAAAACTCTGAGCAATAGTGGTTTTTAAAGGAGGGGTTTGTGCATATGGACTAAGTCTGCAATATTAACATAATGTGCCAGTCTTAAATTTGGGAGAGAGGATAGGGATTTAAGGAGAGTTTGTAGCTTCTCTTTTTCTCTGTGTAACTTGCCATAAGCTATTAGATAGAAGTCAATATTTCCTTTGTTAGAGACAGTCAGGCAGAAACAAATATGGACCATGAGATGTTAATGTTGCCTTCACATAAAAGCTGGGTGAATAAGTTATTATAAGAGTTGAAAAAGTAACACAAGCAGCTAAAAACTAAAAGATCCAACATCCAGTTTGCAATTATCAAATGGTTGTTGATGTTTGCCCCTTTCTCGTGACCAGGCTCTTTAAGCTGTCACTTTTAATCTGATTAAATCAAGACAGTTGTTTAAAATCAACTGTTCAGTTATACACAGTTTTTGACCTTGAGGTTTATGTTTCTTCAGCTGTGTGGCTGATTGTGGGGACCATCAACTAAATCTGGATCAGTGCTGAGAGAAATGGGACTAGCAAAGACAAAACATCATTCGAATTCAAAAAACACCACAGTGACAGTTTCGTGTTAGCTCGTGATTCCACTTCTTGTTGCACTTAATCTAAAAACTTTGAAGGAAATGTTTGTGCTGTAACAGTGAAAACCAACAATCCTACCAAATACAATCTAAATTGATAAAATTAATAATAGGTCATTTTTACGGTAAATTGTATAGGGGAATACAATACAGGTGGTTTTACTGATATTCATACATTTATTTCTTAGCTAGTTATCCGTCTACTAGTGTGTGTTGCAAACATCTGTACAGTCTGTAGTTTAAGTAGACATACAGAGGTCAGATTAAATAACGTTTTTAAAAATGTGAATTTGATTACCTTAATTAATTAATCCTCAAAACCACACAGACTTTCAGTGTTTAGAGATTTCCAGGCAACATCAAGGAATTTCCTGTTTTTATGGGCAAGAAATGGAAAGCTGAGCTTACATTTTACAGTCAAGTGAAGAGACATCGATTTCATTGTTAGAGCAAAGCTGCATATGGTGTGCTTGACTGATCACAGCTTTAACACGTGAAGACAGTCGAGGGATTTTTTTTTTTATATCATTGTTTATGTTATTTCTAAAGCCGAGTAAGAATGCCAAAATGTGTAATCCAGATGACGGCGTAATCTAATATAAAATGGCAACTTGTCACAGCTGAGGAGTGCGGCAGTTTAAGTGTAGTTGATCTCTAACATCACACGCTCTGTATCAAACATCAGTATTATTAGTAAGGGGTATTTTCTCAGCCTTCTTAAACATTGTATATTGTAAATTATACAGATTATAATTCTAACATAAGACATTTTATTGGAAACAAAATCGAGAAAAAAAGAAAAAAAAGTAGTTCAGCCTCGATGTGTGTTTCATGTTCGCTGTTTTTTCTATCAAGAAAAAACCGAGTTTCTTTACTTTTATCTGTTTTTGTTTTAAGGTCCTCTTTCTGTTTGATCCTTTCCTCCGCTGTTGAGTCCTCTAAGGCGTTGCTGTGTACTTTTTCTTGTGGTGATTCCCGTTCTTGTGCCGTGTGCTTCTTCTTTAGACAACACAGAGTAGAGTAGAGGCCATGTTGTCTGTCTGTCAGATCAGTCCGCTGGGGGTCTGGGTACCGGATTCTCTCCCAATGAACCGAACCGGATATAAGGCTCTTCTTCTAGAAACTTAACTAGACCACCAAGATCAAATTACAGTATTCATCTTTACCAAACTATACATAACTAATTAAATATTTAGTATCTAAATGAAGAAACACCATACAAGTATTTAAAAAGGGATCATTTGTGTAACTTTCCTGTAGAGTAAACAATATACTGTATATCTTTAGGTTTAAATAACGATGAAATGAAAAGGACATTTGAGTAATTCAGAACTGTAGGTGACTCTTTTTTGATAAACTCGCTGTACATAACTGCCTTCCATACAGCTCGGCTCAATCATTATCTTTACTGTCACAGCAGTCAAAAAGAGAAAATATGAAGACAAAAAACTTCTTTACCCCCCATTCTTGTGTCCTGTTTTTCAGCTCATTTCCAGGAAAATATCTTGCTTTACAACAAAGTGTAAAAAGTGATCGGACAGGTGAAGGTTAGGACTGAAGATTTTTGTGGGTCGATGGGGAATGTTTAAGAAAAAGCTTGACATGTTTACTTTGCACTTGCTGTTTTTCTTGTTCTATTCACCATGCACACATTACATTGTGGGACATGTTTCTGCTTTGGCCCCAGTTATTATACTTATTGTACCTCTTTATACACATTTATAGATTTATAGATTCTGCGCTACAAATAGCATAAATTCAGAGATTCTAGGACTCATCAAAGGTCTTAAACATAAACATATAAAGTTTTTAGAACGGAGATATACATACCAATTATTTCACAGGTGCATAAAAGATATTTGTAAGTGAAGTCCCAGATGACAGAGTTGAATTTCCTATTTTGATTGTAACTCCGTCTTATTGTCAGAAAGACGGTCTGTCTTATCATCCACTGTACATTAATCCACAAACAATTTATGGAAGAAAGGTGCTCTTTTCTTACTATTGTTTCTTTTCTGTTACTGTTTTTATTTATTTGTCAGTTGACAAACCAGTCCTGTGTACTTCTGAACAATTCAACATGATAAAAGATGTTACACGTCTCCCTAAGGTGATGAAGGCTGAGCTGGATTTGGTTGATTTAAAATTAATCAAGTTACATCTCTTCTATAGAATTTACTCATATAGATTTTTCCAAATTTACTGTAATATCAAATTATCAGTTTCAGTCAAGTAATTAATTGAAAATGACAGTCATGGTCATTTGGGTCACTGGGATCGCTGAATTAAACTGCTGTTATTTCAGATGACTAAAAAAAGGAACAAATCCACCAGCTAACATCAGGAGGGAGACTGTGTGTTTATTTCAGAAGTTTTGATAACTTGCTGCTCATAGCCAAGATATTATCTAGATGTAAAGACGAAAGTGACTTCCCTTGAACAATTTTTGTTTCTAGTTAAAAAGCAATATTTTAATGACTGTACAATGACAAGACAAGAGTTGCACTTGTTTGTGTTGGGTTATACATCAAAATGCTGTTGTAGCTATTAAGATTATTCTGCAGTTATTGTTAAAACCATATAAATGACAACAAACCAAACTGGTATTTTCTATAAGGAGCATTGGAAGACGGACTGTCTGGGTTTTTGCAGAGCCTTTGATAGAAAGAGTTTGACCTGGTTGCACTTTGGGCATCATGTTACCGCCCTCATCTGGAACTTCCATTAGCTGCGAATACTCTATGTAACAATAGTTTAGCCAGAACAGGAGGTTATTTAGGCATAGCGACAAAGCAGGATTGTCCATCTACCATGGCTTCCCCTGAAATCTGCTAAGGCCAAACTGTGTCTATCTACAGCTCTACAGTGTTTAGTCATTTAGTTGTATTTATTCCCCAAATGTAACTGCCACTTGTTCTGCAGCCAACCCTGCAGTCCGAATTTGCAAATGTGATCAAATTATTTAAGGGAGAGAGAAAGACGACACATTTGGACACAAAGGATATTTAAAGATGAAAGACCCTTGCGTGGTGGAGAAGAGTTGTGTACAAGAGAAGACCCTGTAGTGTTATTAAAAACATGTCTGTAGATTTTAGATGTGCTTCACATCAGTAAATGAAAAAAAAAAAAAAGAAACAATAACCTGTATATTTTTGTGACGTGTATCATACAAGTGTGCTCCAACAATAATGTCCATTTGTGTAAATGTATTTATTTCACATTGTATATATTGTTCAATGCAAAAAGAGAGACCTATGATTCTGTAACTTAAACTACTATGGGTTGAAACATTACATGTGTTACTCCAGACTATGCCTTTCAGGATTATTACAGTAGAGCAATATCAATTAAAACCAGGCTTCCAGTTTTGACACCTGTCTTTTGTCTCTGATTTTTACACGCATTTTATTGTTTTCCCAATATTGGTGTGTTTTCTTTTAGAGTGGTACCAAACAATAAACATATCATTTATAAGATAGTTTACAGAGCATGCATGCCAGATTCCAGCAATGCTCTACCTCACAAGATTATGTTTACACCGCTTTTAGACAGAGAGCAGTCCCCATTCATTTCAATGAGGCCAGTTCAGAGATGCAGCTGGGGTGCGGCTAGATGCCTGTAAATCCTACAAACAGGACCTTTAATGCAGGCCTGTTTCCTGTCTGAATGCCCACTTAGAGCTTGGGAGATGAAGCATTGTGTTAGGTTCGGGTCACACACCTGCAGCTGGAGAAGAGAGTAGCAAGAGAGAGGTGGCAGATGTAGTAGATTGCATGTACCCTAAACACCACGTCTTTGTAAACATCTTGTTTAGCGACATCTCCCATTAGCTAGCATATGTTGCCATACACAGTCTTATTGATAGCTCACCTGGTAAAACAAAATCTGTCTCGAAATTTTGTGAGAATTCACTTTGTTCAAACAATCTAACTAGAAAATCTAACATTCTAACATTCAATTCATGACTGGTTGCAATTAGGACAGTCCATACAAGGTCAGGAGCACAGGGGGGGGTTTAAACAGGGGGACTTCAACCATCCTGCACCATCTAACAACTGTAACCCGACTGACCACCAATGTGCAGATGAAACTGGTAATCCCATCCCAATACCAAAACGTTTTTTTTGCCTGAAAATAAACCTTTTCACAATAAAGTCATTTTTGTGACAGTTAAAGTGCTTTATAATGCTTTTAGTTAAGGGTACTAGAGCTGTGGCTGACAAGGTAGGGGGGGTATGTTTATTGTTTATTTGCTTAATGTATCCATTATTCTAGAGCATTCAAACATAGACTTCATCTTTTCATCTGAAGTGAAATGAAAGACAACCGTGAAGAATGAATGGAAAGAGGCAGGGGGCGGGGAGGATGGGAAGAGGCAGAGGGAAAAGGAAGTGGTAACAGCTTGCTCCAGTGGGTGGCTAACTACTGTCCATTCTGAATGGCCAGATCTCCTGCTCTTGCCAAGGGCACTAAACACATACACACATACACACACTGACATAAGACATTCTGTGTACAACATTAAAAAGAAGAGATCCTACAAAAGCATAAGCAAACATGACTAGTAAACAAATCAACAGAGGCTTTTCAGACTCCGTCTCTCTCTTTGTCATCCTATTACCCATTCTTGCTGATTCTTTAACTTGCTTTTTTTACTTTTTCTTTCAGACATCCCTCTCAGTATCTGTCTCCCCATCCCTTCATGTCCCCCTTTTTTCTCTCTCTCTCTCTCTCTCTCTCATTCTCCCTCTCTCTCCCCTAATAGCCAGCAGCAGTAAATGGGATGCAGAGGCCAGATATTTAATGTAGCAGAGAGCCATGAAGCGTTTTAAGAAGCCTTTTTCTTACAGGGGGAGCCCTGACCCGCAGGCAAATATTTTTCAACCAGATGACATAAGAAGATATTAGCTGAAAGAGAGCAAGATTTTTATTCCTTCTCTCTTTCCACAATTTCTCTCTCTCTCTCTCTCTCTCTCTCTCTCTCTCTCTCTCTCTCTCTCTCTCTCTCTCTCTCTCTCTCTCTCTTTTCTATTTGGGTTGCTGCCTGGTCACCCAAGCCTCTGCACATACGTTTTATTTTACTTGCTTGCCTTTTGGAGTTCATTTATTTTATTTTATCTTTGATTCATTATTATGATACGATAAAAGCTACTTGAGCATTTCAGCTGCTGAGGGGCTCTTATCGTTAACCTTGTGGAACGCATGTAAGAGTGGGCTCCACACGCCACATCGCTAATGGCCAACTTAACTCTTCTCTTCTCCTCCTCCACCTTCTGGCTTCATCTACATCTCTTCTTCTATCTCTGTCTCTCTGAGCATCCTTCATCCCTTTATCTTGCTCCTCTACTATCTCCTATTTTCTCTGATAATCTCCTACTACTATATTTGTCTGGGGTTTTTTTATACAATTTCCAGTTGTAGTCAAATTGTTTGTATTTTGTTTTGAATACAAGAAAATAAAACTCAGCTCAGGTCTATTCAAATCTACTCAGCATGACTGACTAATGAATGATACTGTTTATTGTGACAGTTTAACTTTAGCACTAAAATAAGGATATAACCCCGATCTGTCACTGTTGATAATTGTGATGAGCTGGATTTTTCACTGGTTTAAAACTCAGCCGTCTGATAACACATTTTCAGTCACCATAGTCAATTCATCCATGGCAGATATTATTTTGGGGTCCCGCAGGGTTAATTTTTCGGCCCCATTTCATTCACCATTTACATGCATAAAGTTTCACTGTTATACCAATGACACACAGTTATAGCTTCCCATAACACCTAATGGCACCATTAGTCTCAACAGTCGTAGAAGCTGCCTCGCAGATATAAAGTGTTGAATGTTACCAATATTTCCACAACTTAATGAATCCAAATCCAAAGGATAAGATCCTTTTCTATTCAAATAACATTAATTTACTATATATGAGGTACATTTCCAAAGAAAATTATATATTATAAAACAAATGAATATATATAATATATGTTTATATATTGTATACAATTTGATGGACATTTGAGCTTTGATGAGCAAGTAGTTTAAAAACGACAGCTTGTGCACATAAGCACCTTTGGTCATTCAGTCAAAACTTTTGTGTGCCTGCCTTCATTAATATTGCGGTGCATGGACTCCTGAAGTAAGTTAGACTACTTCACCAGCATGTGCATGGGTGGAAATCACTTCACACAACAAGAAATCATTCATTTTTGGAACTTAACTTTGGCTGGTGATTAGTCAAGTCAAGTCAGTGTCATTTATATAGCCCAATATCACAAATTTGCCTCAAGACCATTTATAATATGACACCCTCTATCCTTAGACCCTCAATTCAGATAAGGAAAAACTCCCCCAAAAAACATTTTAACAGGGAAAGAAATGGAAGAAACCTCTGAAAGAACAATAGAGGGACAGACACAAATGCAAGAGGTGTTGTGTGCTTGTACAGAATAACTAAAAATTTCAGTATGGTCAATCAGAATGACACAATTATAGATAGATGGTAAACCTCTATGAAGAATGGAGGAGGATGTCAAGCAACCTCCAGGTGCTGTCAAACACACGAACCACACGACCACCTGTCCATCATGGAAACCTGTAAAAAGGACAGTCTACCCAAATACACAAGAGGCAAAGCTCAAGCTAAACACAATTTACAAAAAGGAAAGAACAAACACACAGAGGGAGAGAAAGACAAGAACAACATGCACACAAGGGAATGAGAGAGACATGAGGAGAGGCTGGAGGACAAGGAAGAGGGAGAAGAGAGAGCATAGGTACACAGCTTGAATGCTTATTTGCTTGTGGGACACAAAAAACAAGAGAGCTAGAGAGATGCAGTGGTTTTCATAAAGTTTACAGTATTAGACAAACATGGACTATAAGTACTAGGCTTAACGGATACAATAAGACTGAAACCAACCCGCCGGAAGGATAATGGTAATAAGTACAAGGTAATCCAAAATAAGCAGCTCGCTAAAAGTTAAGGAAACAAGACGTTTTGAGTATGGATTTAAAGGCCCACTGTCTAACATCAACAAGGAGGTTATTCCAGGGGAATTATTATGATTAAAATGCCACTACCTGAAGACCTGAGGGTTCTACAGGGTTCATAGTATAAAAGAAAATCTGATAAATAAGTAGAACTAGAACATCAAGAGCTTTATAAACCAATAAAAGGTTCTTAAAATCACTGTTGCTAAAGGATCTGCAATATCTGACAAATGAAGAAAACCAGAGCAATGATTATGACCTGTTAGCTGTGTATGCAATGCAATACTGGAAAATAAAACAACTGAATGCAGCTGCTTTCTAGTCCTGGAGGAAGATCTGGCAATTTTATTCAGAAATCTGTGATTTTCTTTAAAATCTGGAACATATAAGTAACACGGTTACACAAACTGCTTCATTCAGACCTCACACTGGAGTCTGATTTCATTTCAGAGCGGCTCTTATTGGGTTTGGGAGAAAGTCTGGATGTGATTTTCTCGTCCTAATACATTGAAACAGGGTCAGTCTCCAAGGGTGACCATATCTGTTTTAGGCGCTGTGACCTGTAAAGTGCTAATGTGTGGCAGCTTCACACTGACAGTGTTTCAAAGGCCTGTTTTGGGGCTATTTAACCCTCCTTGTGTATGTGTGTATACGGATATATATTTATAACTATGTGGGGATGTGTGTGGGTGGTTGTTTGTTCATTTTGGCATGTGTAATTTATAATTTTACAATTTTGTGGGGTCCACATGTGGTCCTATGTAAGCTCTATTTGTATGTGTCTAAATTTCTATGTGCCTTTGTGTGTGTATGTGTGTGTGCGTGCCTTATCCCCATATCCCCTTGTATCAGTGGTAGGATTCCCTTGGGTTTCACAGGCCTAGTGACATGGACTCACGGTGGTAATGGCCTTTCACAGTATCTAGCTCCCCTGACACACACAGACACACACAGACACACACACACACACACACACACACACACACACACACACACACACACACACACACACACACAAACAACACAAATACGGAGAATAACAGTTCTGTGGCAAACGAGCTAGTGCACAAATATGGGCAAAGATGGAGAAAATACACAGGAAAGATAAAGCATATAAATTGTAGTAATAAACATTATATGAGTTACAAAGTACAGAAAATGTCATTTTAAGATAAAACACAGTGGTGGTCCTTTTTTCCCTTTTTCCTACGGCAAATAATAATCAAAAAGAGGAAAAAAGTGAGGGGTTGAGAAATTACATTTGAAGTAGAAAGTGGAAACGGAGTAATTTTTGTTTCTCCCACATGATTCTCTCCTTGTTTTGTTTGTTTTTTTGTTTCTTCTTTACATTTATTTTTTGTTTCCTTGTCCCTTGTT